TCTTATAAATTATAAATTTGATAATAAAAATTTAACATTATCAAATATTAGATTATTTTTTATTAATATTATATATATTTTTTGTATATATAATAACAAAATATCAAATGTCTAGTAGTGCAAGCCCTAAAAAAATTGATTCTTTATAACTTTAAAACCAAAAATTTTACAGAATAATCAATAAAAAAAACTAAGCAAAAAAAACCCAAAAAAAAGGGGAGAACTAGATAAACCAAACCTCTTGATAAGATAATTAAAACTTACTGAACATCAATTTAAAGAAATAGCACATTAGTTTAAATTAAAAAAAAATAGAGCCTATAATCGATGACAAATTAGGCTGTCGATTATATTCGAATCCCGCCTATTCAACCCAAAAAATTTAAATCTCTCGGATAATTAAATTTGAAACATAATCGACAGAATTTCTGTCGAATATATCTTGACTATATAAGGGTTCTAAAACCAGAACATGCTATTGCCTTCTCCTTTTCATCTTTGGGTTTCTCTCCACTTCTCATTCTTTTTCACAAGTAAAATATCCCATTTTTTCTTTCAAGTTCTTCTCATTTTAATTTCCGTTTTCTTTTTTTCTTTCATCTTTTATATTCTCCCATTTGTATTTTTGCAAATATCTCTACTTTTATTTCATTATTCATTTATACTTATTCCATTATCATTTTTGTTGACAATCCACCATCTTCTTTCTCTTCATCCTTCTCATTCAATTCTTTTCCCTTTTTTAATGCATCAACCAATTACTTCAATTAGTTTTAACTAAAAATTCTTATTATTTGATATACTAATAGTTTTTTTTTTTTTTTGCAGATTTTATTACTAAAATGAGGTAAATTTTTCTTTTAAATTTAACTTGTACTTTTTATTTTCTTTTATTTTAATAAAATCATAATGTATACCAATGCATTTTTCTTTTCCTTTTTTTTTTGCAAAATATTATCTCAAAATAAGAGTAGAATTCTCAATTTAATTTTATTTATGTTTATCTTTTATTTTTTATATTATTCTTAACATTATTTCATAAATATATTGTTGTGAGACCTGATAGTTGTATTAAATTTTGTTTGAATCTTATATATATATAATTTAATTAACAAAAAAATATTATGAATATAATTCTTGATTTTATTGAATTTTTATTTTTATTTTTTATAGTTACCTAAGTATAATCGACAACCATTGGCTGTCGATTATCACTGCTCACCTTCGGCTTCATCCTCCACTGAACAGAATCAACAGATTTGCCTCACTCCTTCGCCTACACCTCCTTCTCCTTCCTTCACCAAACAAAAACAACGAAGAAAAACAAAAATTACAGAACAGATCATCCCCCAGAAGCACCAACAGAACAGCAGCCTCATCTCCTCCGCTGCTTCCCTTCTTCTCCTGCCTCTACCGAACAAAAGCAGTAGCAGAAATCAGAATTGGGCCTCATCTCCTCTGCAACAGCTCACCTTTTCAATTTTACATGTGTATTTTTAGTTGACCGATTTGATCTCGAGTGAACCGATTCAACCAATTGAACTGTACCCAGTGGCCAAAACGGATCAACCACCGGCCCGGCCCAAAAACACTGCTTCCATATCCTCATTTTGACGAAAACGGAGGAATTGGCAAGTCTGGGAATGAGCAGAGGAATGATTTCACAAGTTTTTCTCTTACTGTTTTCTTCTTGTTTGCAGTTTGGCTCTTCAGCAGACACCATAACTCCATCAAAATCTATCAAATATCCAGAATCCATAGTCTCCAATGGCAGCAAGTTCCAACTGGGATTCTTCAGCCCTGCTAATTCTACTGATCTTTATGTGGGCATATGGTACAACGGTATTGACCCTGTAAAAGGCGTCATATGGGTAGCCAACAGGGAGAAGCCTCTGAAGGACTCCTCCGGAACGATGATGATATCTGAGGATGGCAATCTTGTAGTTGTGAATGGGCAGAAGGAGGTTCTTTGGTCATCCAATGTTGAAAAGCTGAAAGGTTATAATACAATTGCTAGGCTTCTAGACCTTGGAAACGTGGTCTTGCTGGATAAAACCACTGACATGAAAATGTGGGAGAGTTTCCAACAACCTTCTAATGTTCTCATGCCAACAATGAAGCTCGGTGTAGATTTAAGAACTGGTAAGAAAATCCAGGGAACATCCTGGAAAAGCCCTACTGATCCATCCGTTGGTAACTTCTCTGTTGGAATCGAGCCGTCCGGCGTACCTCAAACCTTCGTGTGGAAAAATTCTCAGCCATATTGGCGGAGTGGCCAGTGGAATGGTGAGGTATTTGTTGGAATAGAATATATGACATATTCCGATCTTCGTATGTTTAGCCTTGATATTGATCAAGGAAAAACCTTTTATCTTTCTTATACTACTAGTCCTGACAAATTTTTGTTAGACTTTTTCATGGATCCAGAAGGAAAAATAATTGAACGATTATGGAATTGGACTGATTACTGGGAAGACACTAAGATTTTATGGTCTAATGTACAAAACGAATGCGATGTTTATGGCAAGTGTGGGCCATTTGGAAGTTGTGATTCTCAGAATCCAACAATTTGCAGCTGTTTGAGAGGGTTTGAACCCAAGAATAGAGAGGAATGGAACAGAGGAATTTGGACTGGTGGTTGCATTAGGAGTACAACACTGCAGTGCAATAGAAAAAACAGCGGCAGAGAAGTAGGCAAGGAGGATGGGTTTTTGAAGCTAGAGATGATGAAAGTGCCAGATTTTGCACAGCGGTGGCCATCAAACACTGAAGACGAATGCAGAAACCGGTGCCTGAATTGTTGTTCATGTATTGCTTGTGCATATGATGTCAGTATAGGCTGTATGTCATGGAATGGAACCTTGATTGACATTCAGAAGTTCTCCGGTGGTGGGATGGATCTTTACATTCGTTTGGCATACTCAGAACTTGGTATGATATTCTTAAACTTGAAGATAGACAAATATGTTAGAAGTGGAAAATTTTGTTTTTCTCTATTCTGTTTTGTCTAAAAGGACAGTTATTTATTTCTTGATTTTTACTTGCAGAACAAAAGAAAGATGTAAAATTAAAAATCATAATAACAACGGTGATCGTAGGAACCATCATCTTTTGCATCTGCACATTGTTCATAAGAGGGTGGATTGTGCCTAAAGGAAAAGGTAGCAAGTATGCTCATGTAGTAGTTCATCAGTTTTACTGTTTTAGAAGTTTGAACTTGAGAATTCATGATTTAGCAACTCTTAATGTAACATTTGCTACTAATCTATTCAGCATGGAAAGAGAAGACTGAAGAAATGTTGTTTGGTAGAAGGAAAACCAGCACAAGTGAAGTTAAACTCCAAGAGTTACCACTACTTAAATTTGAGGAACTGGCAACTGCAACTAAAACCTTTAATCTTGCAAATCAGCTAGGGCAGGGAGGTTTTGGTCCGGTATACAGGGTAAATGTTAACTTCCAGCAGTTCATATTCTGTCAAATGAAAATTTGTGCTAACATGTTTTCCTTTTTCCTAGGGAACATTACAAAATGGGCAAGAAATAGCAGTTAAAAGACTGTCTAGCACATCAGGACAAGGATTAGAAGAATTTCTGAATGAAGTATTTGTCATTTCCAAGCTCCAACACCGAAATCTCGTAAGGCTTCTAGGCTGCTGTGTGGAGCAAGAGGAGAAGATTTTGGTCTACGAATTCATGCCAAACAAAAGCTTGGACACCTATTTGTTTGGTTAGAGCATGATTCATCCTCCTTTTCATTTGGAATTTGATTATAGAATGCAAATGAGTTTTTTTTTTTTTTTTTCCTTGCCAAAACCTTAGGAACATATACATAACAATCTATATATCATTTTCACTGTCCAAAACATTCATTTCTTTTATTTTTTTGGTAGGGGGTAATGGCCTAGACTATAGCATTCATTTCTGATGGTTATAATGCTTGGTTTTGTTCTTTTCATTCTAATTTCCACCTTTTGGTTTGATGATTGATGTAGATCCTATCAGAAAAGAGTTCTTAGATTGGAGAAAACGATTCAATATCATTGAAGGAATTAGCCGAGGTCTCCTTTATCTTCACAGTGATTCTAGACTACGGATTATTCATAGAGATCTAAAAGCAAGTAACATCTTGTTGGATGAAGAGTTGAATCCAAAAATTTCAGACTTTGGAATGGCTAGGATTTTCAGAGGAGATAATGAAAATGAAGCCAATACTAGAAGGGTCGTTGGGACATAGTAAGTTGAATCCCCTTAGACCAAAATTATAGAAAATATTGCTTCACGTGCTGAAAAAATCAAGTTTGTGTTTTGATGTTGAAATGCAGTGGCTATATGTCCCCTGAATATGCAATGGTAGGATTATTTTCAGAGAAATCTGATATATTCAGCTATGGTGTATTATTGCTAGAGATTGTTAGTGGGAGAAGAAACACAAGTTTTGGTAATGATGAGGATACTTCAAGCCTTCTGGAATATGTAAGTTAAGCATCATTGCCAATCATCACCTTTTGTTTGATTTGTCAGTTCCATCTTCAAACTAATCTTTACACTTTCCAGGCTTGGAAATTGTGGAATGAAGACAACGTTTTGGCAATGGTAGATAAGTTGGTTTGCGATCCATGCCACCGTAGAGAGATTCTAAGATGCATACATGTGGGATTGTTGTGTGTGCAAGAAATGGCAAAAGATAGACCAACAATGTCCACAGTCATTTCAATGCTCAACAGTGAGATTGTGGATCTCCCTTCTCCAAAACAACCAGCTTTCATTCTAAAACAGATTATGACAAATGTAGAGTTCTCCTATCAGCATGGTCAACAGAGATGTTCTATAAACAATGTGACTATAACAAATGTTCAAGGTCGATGAGAAGCAAGTCCTTAAGATGAGCAATTCCTACTGCATAGCAATTTCTTGATAGTATTAGTCCTTAAGATGAGCAAATTGAGTTGAAACAGTTATATAACCGCGGTTGAAAGACCGAAAAAATTAGAGTAGCAGTATGGTCGAGTGACCGAAAAAGTAGAGTATCAGTGTGGTCGAATGATCGAAAAAGTAGAGTATGAATATGGTCAAGTGACCAAAAAAATTAAAGTATTAGTATGGTCAAATGACTAAAAAAAGTAGAGTATGAGTATAGTTGAATGATCGAAAAAAGTAAAGTATCAGTATGGTCGAATGACTAAAAAAAGTAGAGTATCCACGGTCAAATGACCGAGCCCGTTGAGTAGTAATGGTTGTATAACCAAGCTAGTGGAGTAGCTACTGTCAAATGACCGAGCAAGTTTGTGTTTGTGTTTGTGTCGTGCTTGTGTTTGTGTTTGTGCTTGTGTTTGTGTTTGTGTTTTTGTTTGTTCTTGTGTTTGTGTTTGTGTTTATGCTTGTGCTTGTGTTTGTGTTGCAACGGTTGAATGACCGAGCAAGTTGAGTTGTCACAGTCAAAAGATCGAGCAAATTGAGTAGCAATAGAGCCGAATGAGGGTAAACGCAACCAAGGGGCTGGCTAAAGGTGATGTTTGAAAGATCTGTAATAATGAAACAGATGTAAGTGAGACAACTTTCACATAAAATATAACGTAAAATGAAGAGAGGTTAAGAAACTTCCCTGAACATATGGTGGATGTCTTTACTTGGCAAGAGTCAAGTGTCCTCTGCGTTGTGCATTCATTAATAGGCTCGATGACACACTTTGCATAAAGTTCAATGACTTGAGAACATCTCTAGTTTACTGGGGAAAATTCTCGAATCATTGTAAGATAGGATAAGCACCATGACCATTGAATCAAGCTTTTGCTTTTCTTTGCAACTTTCATCCTTTTTTTTTTTTTTGTAGATTTTTCAAGAGATTTTAGTTAAATAAAGCAATTATATTAACTGAAATAAAGCATCATAACTAATTAGCATCCTAATCTAAACAAAGAAAAGAAGGCCAGGGCATGGATAATATGAATGGATAAAAAGAGAAGAGTAGGATGTGGATAATATGGATAGACAATATAATGAAGTTTCGAGGATGATGTGATTTGAGATACACATGACTTTTGAATTGCGCAACTTTTGATGCAACAATTTTAACAAAGCTAGAAGGCCTTCAGGCTATAAAGTATTTGCTTCAAGAATTTATTGCTTTGTAACTCCACCAATCTAGTCTTTAGCATATGAGACAATGTCTACTTTCATACCAAAGTGGATAAATCAAATCAATCTCCTTCCCATGAACTAACCTTCAATGTTTAGAAAACTGATCATAAACCACCGAGCTTTGACTTGGGCTTGCTAGAGAAAGGATTTCTTCTTCTTTTTTCTCTTTTTATTTATTTATTTATTTTTTTTATGTTCCTCGACAGAGAAAGTTTCACACTCTCAAATAAGGACCTTATATAAGCTTGTAATGTGGCTTGGGGTTAGGCTATTATGAAAGAAAGGAATTGTCATAACCCGATTTTTCACTCAATTTATTTAGACTTTTTATTAAAAAAAATAAAAAAATAAAAAAATAAAAAAATATGAAAATTTCTCTATTCTTTAAATAATATATCTTTATTTTCTTTCAGGTGCTATGTGTAGAAAGAAATTCAAGAAGAAAAGAAACTTGAGAAAGGACTCAGTTGAAGGAATCAAAAGTTCGAGGGTGAAATTCATCAAAGTTGCAAACTCAACACCAACCCAATTACAAATCCAAAACCCAATTACCCAAAACCCAAATACTCAAACCCAAAACCCAATTATAAACCCAACTACCCACAAACCCCTAATGTTAAAGTATGCAACCGTGTTTAAATGGAGGATTGTGAGGTGCGCGTATGCCCTTTCTCACTCCTAACCGAACCCCCGGACCTCGATCTCTCCGTAGACCTATTTTAGGTGACTTGTCCCACCTTATAATTTGGATGAGTGGCGACTCCTTTTTCTTCTTATATTTTCACCCTTATCAACATTAATTTTTTTTTTGTTATTTTGAAATCTTAAGTGGTTGTCAACAGATTGGCGACTCCACTGGGGACTGAATCCAGAATCTCTGGTTTTCATGTTCTGGATTCATGAGGGTCGAGCTAATACTTTAACTTTGGGGAATTTTTCAGCTTTTGATTTTCTTTTGTTTGTTGAGTCTTTGTGGGTCTTTGCTACTCATTACATTTGCTTCTTGTTTGTTCTTTGTTTCTTGTTTGCTTGTTGGTTTACTATTTTGCTTTTGAGTAGTTATTTGGCTACATCTTGGCATGCATCATATCTTGCTCACATGCTCATGTATCATATCATCTCACATGCTCATGCATCATATCATCTCACATGCTCATGCATCACTAATGTTACAAGCTTATTCATCATGCATCATGTTTACATGCCTCCTTGCTTGTATGTGGATGTGCTAAGTATTTGCATTTGGCATAGGAGTACTAGGTGAGTCCTTTCCTACCGTGTAAGTAGGTTTGTTTGTGGGTGTTATATTTGTTGAGTGTTTTACATGGTTTATTTGCTTGTTTGCTTTATTTGCTTGTTGTGGGATATATGTTGTTATTTTTGTGGTTGTCTTTGTGCAGGTTATCGAAGTGTCATGCTCCTTGCACACACTCACTCTCATTTTGCATTAGGTCTATGTCGGAGGTGAACCTGACCTCTAGTCTGGAATCTTTACGAATCTGGCTTGGAAGAGCAATTCTTCCTGCTTTGAGGAGTAAGATCAGTTCTCATTAGGTTGTTTCCATTGGTTAATACGACACCTGATGATGTAATATTGTCCTGTGTGTTAGATTTTGGAAATATCTTCCATTGATTCTGAAAAGATAAATGGTTGAGAAGACCTAATGCCCTTTAGGAAACCATGTAGTGAACTTAAGGAGAAACCACCCATAGGACTTGTCAGCCTAGAAAGCCACCAGTGAGGTTAGGATTCCGGTGTCTAGGTACACAAGGGGGCATTTTACATCTTACCTTACTTTACACTTGCAGGTGTTCATTAAGTCAACCGTGTCAAATTTCATGACATCCATAACATTCATTCATTCCATGCACTTTGCATTTTCACTTTCTACTCAATACTACATGAAACCATTCACTTTGGCACTTTCACTTTCTATTCCATACATCCAAAAAAAAAAAAAAATTTTGCATATTTGTTTTACATGTCATACGTCCATTCCATTCATTTCACGTTAAATGTTCCATTTATCATCAACCTTTCACATGTCATATGTCTATTGTATCGCATTTTCCATCTCATGCATCGCAAAATATGTTTTCACGTTCATCTCATGTGACATTCTCCCTTCCATTCATTTTACATTTCACTTTTCATCTCATATTTCACAAAAATTTACAAAAAAAATGAAATTCCATCCATGTTCATTACATTTACATCTTCCATCTCATATAAAAAAATTCCACAAAATATTAAAAAAAATCTCATCCACATGCATTTCACACTGCATTTCCTATCTCAAGTTTTCATTTCAAGTATTACTACTTCCATCTCATACTTCAAAAAAAAAAAAAAAGTTTGAAAAACTACATGGAAACAAAATTTCATCCATTTTCATTTTTCATCTTATATTCCTTTTTAAGCATTACTATCTCCATCTTATATTTCTCATATTTCCCATGTTTCATAAAAAAAAAAAAATTCCATAAAAAATGAAAATCTCATCTATGTTTAGTTCACATTACATTTCCCATCCCATTTTTCATTGCAGTCCATATTCAACCTTACATTACGTCTTCCATCTCACATCAAATTGACATTCATCTCATGCTCATTTTCTTTTTTGAATAAAGTTAAATTTGGTCCTCATATTTTCTTGTTTTTCAATTTAGTCCTTCAAGTTATCATTTTCTTTTAAAAAAAAAAATTGTCCAAACTCTCTTTCAAAGAAGGTCTCACCCTCTTACATTTTCTACATGAAATTCACACTTGCATGTTTCAAACTTTTTGGCCTTACCTAATTAAATCCAAAGCATTTCACATTTTGTTAAAAA